CCTGTCTGTGCTTGTTCTGTTTCCCTCTCCAGATTCGTAGGTATAGCCTCTTAAACTCTCACTGAGAGTCCCTCAGAGTGCCATGATAGCACTTGTAGAAAGAACGCAAAGTTATCTCCGAGTACAGTCTCCTGCACAATAATTCGTTGACGTTCACTGGTGAATGGTCGTGGGCCCATGACGTGGACAGGCGTCCTACCATCTGCATGACTACTCCCACTGCTCTTCCGGGCCTACAGCGAGTTTCCTGGATTAGAGACACTACTGGAAAGTTCCAAGTTTAAACACGCATAATTTGATTGGGTTGAACGTGGTGGGGCGTCTGAGACTCTAGTATTACTAGACTAGTAAGATCACGGGAAGATTATCGGTTAAGCGCATTCTTAATAATATTAATGAATCATTGTGTGCTCTCGGCGATAGTGAGAGTAGTACTACCGTAGTACTACTCCCTTGTGAGAATATAGACTTCCCCCTGAATAAGCGAGCCGATGAGCTATCAGTGATGCCGTAATGACGATGATATTACGACTCATTCAGGAGTAATACTCCTGGAGTATGGTTTCGATGATGTATTCGGTCCAACTATTACTGAGAGAGAACTTCGTAGTAATATCATACTAATGGAATGACATTAACCATATCCGTAATATGGTTGATGTCATCTCACCTTTTACAGGCGAAGTGACAATCACAGAGAATGGTCATCTCAAGTCCCTGGTTGTACTACAACCTCGGGGATCAGCAAGTTGATGACATCAACGGTATGTACTTGCTCAACAGATGGCGCCAACCCTCGAAGAGTTCTTGGGCTTCCTAGCGATCTCTCAAGAGAGGGAAGATCTTGGGAGTCAATATGGTGACAGCTTAGAATTCGAATTCGGTACTGAAGGTTCCGGACGATTGCGGAGATGGTCGGACTCTAGTGGTGAATTTGGTGATACCCTGCTATGCTGATAACGACGATATCTGCCCAAGGTTTGCTCGGTGCCTTAACGATCTGACAAAGGGGTTCAGTACGGTTTGTCGAGGGTGCTCTCAATGCCAGAAAGGTTTGATCAAGACGGTGTCCCATGAGAAAGGTGGTCATTTGGATGCCTCCGCGGGAGAAGTGTGGCGCCATTCGAGTCTTGATCTGACAGGCCTCTTCCCTAAGAGCTGACGGTCGGCTGCTCTAGCAGAGCAGCATCCCGCTATGTTATCCGTTCCATCATGGAACGGTCTAGCCGTTACGGCCAAGAGTCCGCCAGTCGCTACGAGACCAGTACTTCTGCTGAGGGGTCATCGCAATTCCATCACATGAATCATGTGACATGCTGTGGAGTCCACATTGTGACAATGTGGACTCCACATGTGGACCACAACATTCCCCTACGGTGGTCGTGATCCATCTGAATTACCGAGGTTACATCTGCATTCGCTGTGCCAAACCACGACATGCGATATCAATAGAGGCCATCGAGCGCGGTGGGGAAGGCAAGCCGCCACTACAAACACAGGCTGCTATCTAAAGAGTGTCTCAAAACGTCGTGAGCACTTTGAGTACGCAGGACTTCGTGGTTGGTGAGTGGTTTCATAACTAATTCTGCACAAATACGACACTCATCATGGTCAGTAAGTGTGCGAGAAGTGAACCCCTCCCGAGGCGTATGAAGAAAGATATGAGCGTTGCAGACGCTCACGGTGTGGGGTCAATCAGACGACTATCCAAAATATCTTGAGACACGCTCAGCCCTAAGCTTTTTCGATACGATGTGACATCGTCGAAAAAGCTTAGCGAGTGAAGTGGGTAAATATATATATCGACAACGACCTTCTATTTTTCGGGGGAAGGTATTTCACAATGCTCAACGCGTACAACTCCCTTAGTTTTCCTAGGTGCTGTCTGTTGTTCGGTAACCGAACCTCAGTTGGTTGTTTTTTCAGCCCTCACATGGCAGACGCCCATTCTTTGTGACACTTATCGAATGTTGTTGCGCTCACTTAGCGTTGCTTTTCTCTGCTGTTGTTATCCGCTGTACCATTTTCGACTGTGCTATCGGCGAGAGCTCGTTGATCGAGGTTAGTGGGAAACTGTTAGTGGGGAAGACAGTGTCTATTACCTGGTGTTTCCATCGGACACTTTTCAATGACGACGATCATCACTTACAACTTGTAAGTTACAAGTTGTGAGTTACAACTTGTACAACATTGTCCTATAAGTCCGTAGACTAGTTAGCCAAAGTCTGGCTGCCAGACTTGTCTCGTGCTCATGACGTCTGTTGACGCTTCCAGCCGTTGGTATTTCTGCGGATTTGCTTTCGCTGGTGATGTCTGAGTTCACTCACCCATTTTGCCTAGTTCCAAAAAAGCGACTTTGCGTCAAGTCGCTTTGAGTTTGAGTCCATGAATGATCGTGTTGACTTGCTTGAACATTTTGATGAACGACTACTGATTGATACTGAGCAAGGTGATGCTTCTATACGAAAAATACTCTGAAAGTTGGCTTTTCCTTGTGGCATCGTCAAAGGTCGATCTGTTCGATCCTGAGTACAGGTTCTTATTCGTCTTTCCTTCACAGAGTTAGGTCTGGCTAATAAAGCTCGTGTGGCTCTTCTCGATATCCAGGGATTCCTACAGTTACTATCACCATTACAGGACCGTCATGAGCGAGTGACACCTTGCCAGGTTGGATCGCTGACCATCTCTAGATTGGCTCGTCTGTGTTCGGCCTTATCCTATATGCAGATGCAGCATCTGAGATGCTGCCAGCTACTCTACTATTCTCGCTCATTTGGTGCAACTAAAAGATCAGTATATGAGTAACTATCAATATAATGATTATTCTATGATGTTATATCCTGGTACCTGATATAACCCGATTATACTATAATCCCCTTCACTGATTCTCTATGTATTAAACATATTATTCATATTGTCCGTAGGCAGTGCGAAGAGTCTAATATTAAACCACTGGTGTGGCTGCTTTTCGGAGTGTATTATGGTGTTCTCATCTAATTCCAATACACACGGTCTTCTAGTAACCCTACTGATGCACCTTCTCGCCAGCTTTGGTCAGCATGTGGAAAGTTTCTCAGACACTCTGTGTTTGCATAAGTATCTGTAGCTCGGTTGAATGAAGAAACAGAAAACTGGTCTTCCGGGAAGACTCTTCCCGATGTCGAGCCATGCCGTGGGGCAGCTGTCCGTGACAGACTGACCATAAGATCGAGCTCGTTATAGCAAGGCAGCGAAGCCAGAACAAAGAAGGAGTCCAACAGCATTGCAAGACCATGTAGAAAGAAACACGACAAGACGGGCATTCGCTGGTGTAGTCCTTTCACAGTACACTGTACTGAGTACAGTCTGTACTACAGTAACTGTAGTTATGGGGATGTGATAAGCCTGAAATGGTGTTGAAAAACACCTTGGAATATCACAGGCCTCGTTCTGAGCTTGTCAAGATGAGGCCGAGCTAGTCTCATCTACTGCACTCTCCCCGACTTCGCCTATTGAATTATCCTTCAGTCCCTCCTTTCTCACCGGAGATGATGCCGACACGGGCGAAAAACTCCGGTAGTCCGGACCATAGTCGTCCGTCGCGTACCAATCCCATGTGCTCCAGTCGTAGACTTCTTGCATAGATGGTGTCTCGTTGGTGGCTTGCACGTTACGAGGAGCTTTCTTGCAAGGAGTTTGACTCATTCCCGGGGAACTTGCAGTTGGGGCGCTGCTGGATTCCAGTCATTCCAATCTGTCCCCACGGCTATTTTTGATACAAAAGTCGAAAAAACCTTCTATCATGTAGAAAATGGGAAGGATGGGCCAGTGATTTCGGTTGAGGCGCTCTCTCGAAGACTGTTTATTACATGCCCTGAGTATCGCCAACAACATGCGAAAAACGCCATCTAGCCGTCGAAATGGCACGATCATGGCAGATCCGACCTCTCCCTAAGCAGTCCTTTTTGATAGAAAAACCGCAAGTTGCCCTACCAGTGATAAGTGTTCACAACACTCCACGAGCCAGTCTGTACCAACACCCGCTTCTCCGGAGGACCGAAGCTTGAAGCCAGGGCGGCAGCACAGAAGCAGTGACCACTAGCGCTGACCCTCGACCTCTAGTTGGCTCGGTGAGCCGTAAAACGCCCAGCTGTCCGCCTGCCGAAGACTGACCCAAGCGAGTAGAGCGGCGGCCAGCTGATGAAGTCTGACTGCTCAATACTTGCCCCGGCTCGCAGAATAAGACAGATTAAGACGATTTGTTGTTCTTTTGCTTTGTTCGATGAAGCCAGTTTCCACTAAAGACACTGGTCAGAGAAGGGCTATAGCCCTTGAGGAGGTGGCTCCACCCCTCTCTGCGAGACGAGCCTCTGGCTCGGGGATTACCCTCCCACTAAGGGGGGGGTATCCGTCTCAGTGATGATGGAAATGTGGTATCGAAAGGACCACAGCAATTTAATCTTGATCAGGATTCCGAGGCCCAGGCTGCTGGCTCGCCAGCGCACAGCCTGGAGAATTGCTGGAATGGTACCATACCGCCGGCTGTTCTCGGTTCAGGTTCTCAGTTCGACTGGGCCTCGGAGGCCCCTTCCGAGAGTGAAGATATAACCATGGAGCAGCTGGAGCAAGATCTTCTCGACGACTCTCCTCCCAGGGCCTCCGCCGTCCCGCCGCTTCAGCGCGTTAGGAAGCCTCTGAAGTCCTGCCGTGGCGAGGGGCCTCAGGCCTTAGCGACCTGCGATGCCCGTAAGGCAAGGAAGGGCCCTGCCGCCGGCTCTCAGGTACGCCAAGCGGCTCGCGGCTCCAGGGCACGTCGATCGTCCGTTGGCACATCGCTCCAAGATGTCGAGCTTCAACCTACTTACGACCTTCCCGACGACTCTGAACCCTCCCCCCGAGACCACTCTACTGGTCCTCTACCTTCTCCACAAGGTCGGTGCTCCCCGCAAGGGAAGGGCCCTGGGCCGGCCCCAGCGGCACTGGTGCAGATCATTGCGCTCCTGCGCACCCTGATCGGAACCATGTCGCTGGGCCCCCAAGGGCCGGCCATTACGGCCCTATTAGACTCCATTGTGGTGCTGGTAGAGGCCGGCCTGACGGCTTCACCGGGCCCCCTTTCGGCCCCGGTAAGTCGTGCCCCTGCGGCATCTCAGGTACCGCAGGTGTCCGCTGATGGCTTTACGACCGCCACGAGACGGCGTCGGGGTCGCAAGGCGCAGAATGCTGCCCCACCCAGACCCGGCCCTCCGGGGCCATCTCAGGTACCCCAGGCGACTCGTCGCCCGCAGCCTACTACTCAACAACGGCAGCAGCAGCAGCAACCCAGGCGCCAACCACCGGCCCCACGCCGCCAACCCCCGCGTCCTGCTCCACAGCAGCAACAGCGCCCTCCTGCCCCTCGCCGTCAACAGGCCCCCACCATCGGCAATCGCCGCAACCCTCACGTGGCAGCGGCGAAGAAGGCGGCGGCTGGCGGCGAGAAGCCCGTGATTATCATCCGGCCCTCGGGCCCGAACCCGCCAGCTCCTCTCTCCAAAGAGGAGTTTAGTAAGCTCAGGGTCTCTGCTCTTCAGGCACTTCCCGACCACGTGACAATCACCGGTATATTTCCGGTGGGGCGCTCGTCCCTCGGAATGTCGGTCAAAGACCGTGGGCATCTGCCCGCGGTTTTGGCCAACTTAGGTACAAAACTCCGTGGATATGAAGTGGCTCCCAAGCAGAGCAGGGCGCCTCGGGTGATCCTCTTCTCTCCAGCCGTATCCAAGGACGTCACAACCGTGGCCTTGGAACGGCAGTTGAAGGAGGAAAATGAGGGCCTGATCGGCCAAGGAGCGACGGGACCTGCCGTGCAAAACCTGCACTGGCGTGGCCCCAACCTGGTGATGGCTGTCTCCTCAGACTTTTTCAGGTCTTTGGAAGCCAGCGGGCAAAAGGTGAAACTAAATCGCCTTTTGACCCGCTGGCAGTTAGCGGCGGACTACACAGTCTGCTTCTACTGCAGCCGATTGGGCCACATCTCGACCAGCTGCACCTCAAGGCAGCAAAACCTGCCCGAGTGTTGCACGAGATGCAGCGGCCCTCATGCCAGGTCCGCCTGCAGCTCGGCCCAAGAACGGTGCCGCAACTGCTGTGACTTCAATGAGGCCCAAGCCCGGGCTGGCCGCCCTCATCGCAGGGAGACCAACCATCAGGCCACCAGTCCGGGCTGCCCCTCCGTCGAGGCACACTGCCGACGGATGGCGGCAAGGACCAACTACGGCCCGGTCCCTGTGACTCAGCGCTCGCAGCAATGCTAGAGCTGCTGCAGCTTAACCTGGGCAAGCGGCGAGCAGCCGCCGATCTGATTTGCTCCTTAGGAGCAGATATAGTTTTAGGCCAGGAGTTTCCCAAGCGGTTTTCGCCTACAACCTACAGCTACCATGGCAAGAAAGAGGGCACTGCTATCCTTTTGAAGAACGGCTTATCTGGCACCACCTTGGTGGCTGCCAGAGACCTCTGCACCGCTAAGGTGCGAAGCTCGTCTAGTACTATCATCGTAGGTTCTCTCTACCTCCATCCCACTGACCGGCCAAGACGAGAGTTGGCCCTTCAGCGACTGGAGGATGCCCTCTCCGCCCATAGACTGACAGGGATGCTCTTAGGAGCGGACTGCAATGGAGCCTCAGATCTCTGGGATTCCTTGCTTCCGGACAACCTACAGGCCCTGAACCACATCGGCTCCAGCTGGCAACGAGGGGAAGAGTTCCAAACGTGCTGCCAGCAACACCGAGGGACCATCATCAACCGGCCAGACTTATTCCCGGCCCCCACCTTCGTGGGTGGAAACGGCTCATCGCACATTGACGTAACGGTCGTCTTCGGCAGAGTTCCCTCACATGAGTGGAGACTCTCTGAGGAATTCTCAGGTAGTGACCATAAGATAATTCGGGTGACCTTGCAGGACACCAAGCACGAGTATCCCAAGCGACCACAGCTGCGACTCACCAATTTTGAGAAGGTTCGAGAAGCAGCACCAGCCATACCCGACAACTCCCCCGCCGCGGCCATTTCAGCAGGTCTCTCAGATGCTGTTGCTGCCAACACCCCCGCTATGGAGGGTCGCGACTCCCCTTCGTGGTGGAGCCGCAAGCTCACGAAGCTGAAACAGAGCCTTAACAAGGCGACCAAGAAGTGGAACAAGGCGAAGAGGGATGGCAACCTCCTCGGAACCGAGCACTGGAAAGAAGAGCTGACTGAGAGAAGGAGACTCTTCAGGTTAGAAGCCCGAGCAGCCAAGAAGAGGGCAAGGGACCGCTTCTATGCGTCCCTCCAAGACTTCTCCAAGTGTATCCGGCCACCGACGGGTAAGTCAGCGGCAGCGATACTGAATGGCGACCCAAGCACCAACCAAGCAGCCCATCTGCTAGAGAAGCTATTCCCTCGGGACCCTAGCGGTCCCAG